ATCCTGGCTCCCCCCCCCCCCACCACCCCCACCACCACCACCCACGCAGAGTACCTCACGCTGATCGAGCAGCAGCGCGGGCGGCCCAGCACGTGGGAGGAGGGGGAGGAGGCGGGCAACGGCGCCAGGCGCGGCCACAGCCGGCAGCCGTCGCTGCCGCTGACCGAGGAGGAGACCAAGGAGCGGGCCCAGGGGGTGAGCCGGGGCACGGGGGGGTGGGGTGGGTCTGGGAGGGGGCGCTGCATGCATGCAGAACCGATCAGATGCCCCGGTCGTGGGGCCGGGCGGGCGTGGCATCCCCTGGGGACGCCCCGGTGCCACACAAACTCTCAATCGTCACACTCCCTCCACCTCGCCGCCACGCCCCTCACAGACCATCGCAGCGGTGCTGGAGCAGGCGCGGTCCAGGGTGGTGGACCTGAAGCACGCCGCGGCGGCCGCCACCGCGGCAGCGGCCCCGCACCCCGTGGCGGTGGAGGTGGCCGTGCCAGTCGCCCCGGCCGAGCCCCGGGCGATGCCCAAAAAGGCGCCGCGCGCGGAGCCGGCGCACCCCGAGCCGGAGCGTGCGGCGCCCGAGCCGGAGTCTGCGTTCGAGCTGCCGGCGGCCGTGGCGGCCAGGGCGCGCTGCGAGACGGCGGCCGCCGAGGCCGACCGCGCCGCGGAGGCGGAGCGACAGCGTGCCGCGCGCGCCGAGGCCGAGAAGAAGAAGGCGCGGCGCGCTGAGAAGGCCAAGCGCGGCGCGGAGCGCGCCCGCGCCGCCGCCGCCGCAGCGGAGATGAGCGCCGCCGCCGCCGCAACCGTGGCAAGCGCCGCCGCCGCCGCGGCGGCTCCTGCTCCCGCCCTCGCCGAGGAGGGTGCCGCGGCAGGCGGGGAGGGGGGCGTGACGTATGAGGCCGCCCAGGGAGCGACGGCGGTCGCCGGCGAGGCCGAGGCAGGCCCGGGCGCGGCGGAGGCCCCCGCGCCGGCCCCGGCTGCGCCGGCCGGCGCGCGCCGCAAGGCCAACCCCGCCATCCTGGCGACCAACGCGCCCCTGTCCGTGGCCAAGGTGCGTGCGTGCCTGGGTGTGGGCGGTGGGCGTGGCGCTTGGGCTTGCAGGGCCTCGTCCGGTGGTGGATCGGCGCCGCGGCCCGGTGAGGAGCAGCGCGCCCTGCTGCCCAGCCAGCAGATTTGGACCCCCTAGCACGACGCCCACTGCTTCTCTTCCTTCCACCCCCCTCGTCCCACTCGAACCAGTCGCGCCCCTCCCCTCCGCAGGCCATGGTGGCCAAGCCCGCCGCGCGGCGCCCCGCGGCCGCGCGGAAGTCGCTGGTCAAGACGCTGCGCAGCTTCTACCGCGAGAACGAGATGGCGATGGTGCTGGCCCTCATCGGCCTCATCGTCGCGGCGGTGGCGTACATGAGCCTCACCGCCGCCTGAACCCCCGCCCTGGCCCGCACGGTGCGGGCGCAGGCGTGGGGTCTGTGCAACGGGTGGCACGGCGGCCACGCTGGCCTGCGTGCCGGCGGGCGTAGGGCCCCTTCCTTCTTGAAAAGACAACTGATTGAACCTTTGTGCCGCTCTCTCTCGTGTTTGTGACGCTGATGTTGCAGGCCCGGGCCTTCTCATTGATGTGAGAGAGCGAGCGGATCCAACGCTTGATGACAAGAGTGAGGATGGTGTTTCTGCCTCAGATTGCTGTGAGCTGGGGGGGATCCCACGACCACACCGGGTGCTACCAGTCTGTTGCGGTAAGCTTGGGGGAGTACACAGTTGAGTTCAAAGAATGGAGTGACCATGGCAGGCAGGAGCGAGTACATTTCAGAGTATACACAAGTGTCAGGTGCGACCAAGGCCATGCTATGCCAGTGTGGTAGGGAAAACAGTCTTGCCCATGCTGGTCGGTGCATCATGCATGGGTGCAAGACAGGTGCCGGGGCCGGGCCCCAGAAGGCTGGCGCTCAGCCCTGTCCACTTTGCACGACGCCTTAGCTTGACCAGACAGAAGATAATCACGGTGATGACCTGCAGGACGAGGGCCCAGGCGAGGAAGTCCATGCCTGGCAATGTGTGGATCTCCAGGTTGGCCCCCGAGTACAGCCCAGAGCAATGGTCGCGCGGGCCAACATCATTCCAGCCCTGGCTGGCATTGACGCCGCCAAACGTGATGTAGCCTGGCATCTCCTCCAGACCTGGCATGGCGGCAGGGAGGGGTGTGTGGGAAAAGGGGGCAAGGGGCCGCGGCGAGATGTTTGTGAGTCAGACTGGACTGCAAGCAGCATGCCGTGGATTGCAATGTGGGAGACTGCATCGCTGGCAACTGTTCCAGACGATGCCTGCGGGGCTCTCTTCTCAACAGACATCGAGTGGCAAGACAGCATCATTCCTCGGCTGTGAAGCCCAACATCGAACTCAGGAACCTCACCCTTCTTGAACCAGGGCTCGTCGTGCAGTCCATACTTGCGTTTTACCGCATCATCCTCGTCCCACTCCGACCTGGGAGTGGAGCGGGGACGCAGAGTCGATCGCTGCTCCCCAACGAGTACAACATGCAGAGCCGTGCAGCCAACCCCAGGCGCAGCCCGGCATGGAATGACCCCAGGTGGCCCGGCGCACCATCCGTGGGGGTGGGTGAGGGAGTAGATGGCGGTCTTCTCGCTCTGGTGAGCAGGGTGGATCATGCAGGCTGCATCCACCACCCCGATCCTGTCCCTCGGGTAGTCGAGGAGGAGGGGCCACACAAAGTCCAGCGCTGGGCGAGAGGGGCGATGGGCGGGTGTGTGTCAGGTAGCAGAGGGTCCAGAGAGGGTGGCGACGGCCAGTGCTGCGCTGCCAGGGAGGCACAGCTTTCCATCTGCGCCACCTTGTCATTCTCCCCACACCACACCACCCCCTCACCGTAGCCTGTGGCGGTGTTTTCATCCAGGTTGGGGAGCAGGACAGAGGTGACCGTCGGCATGTCAAAGATGGGTGCCATGAGTTCCACAAATGCCGTGTACCGCAGCACCTTCTCTGGGTCCTGGTACACCTGGGTCCAGAAGGTGTAGCTGTCTGGGTGCCGGCAGACAGAGGGCTGGCTGAGGGCCAGCCGATACTGGCTGGCGACATCGAACGCGACGTTGATGGCTGGGACGGGGGGCAGGGGTGGATTGCGGTGAGTCAGTCGTGGCTCGCCGAGTCCCGCACAGCAGTCGGCAGGCCGGCAGGGGCTGGTGATCGCAAGCCCAGCCCAGCCCGGCAGCCGTGGCACCTCGCGTGGACATGATGAGGTCGTCGTCCGCGACCATGATGTGGGTGTAGCGGTCGGTGACCCGCGGCCACACAGAGGTCTGGGAAACCTGGCGCAGCAGCTGCCAGGAGAAGCCATGGCGGCGATAGACTGCCACGCACTCGGGACAGGACCACTCTGGGTCGTTGCCGACGTAGAGGGCGAGGATGTCGAAGGACCGGTGCTTCTTATCGTCCAGCCACCTACATGTGGAGGGTTTGGCATGTGCAGAGAAAACATTGTCTTGGGCATTGTAGGGTTTCACGGTACAATGACCAGCCCCGTGTCCCCTGTCCCCCTTCACTCACGTGATCTTATGCTGAGAGTTGTCAGTGATGGCTGCAATGATGAGGTAGGGGCGGTAGCAGTCGAAGCCGTTCCATTCAAGGGTCACCACTGTGGGAGCTGGTGCAGGATCCGATGCCTCCGGTGTCGCGCCCTCGCTGGACTTAGATTCGGCACCGTGACTGGCCTCGCTGGGGCTGTCCTCGCCTGGATCAGTGGCTCCATCTTCGCTGTGGGTGCTGCTGCTATCCTCCGCGAGCAGGCTGGCAGTGTCCTTAATGGGCTGGTCGGCAGTCTCCTCGGTATCAGCTCAGGGTGTGCTGTCCCCAGTATGAGCCAGAGTCATACTGCAGAGGAGAATCACCACCCACACGAGGCCCTGTTTTCTGCAATGGAAATGAGACACTTCATAAATGTTGGCTCGTCTGGCATGCCGAGGGGAAGCTCGGGTGAAGTAGGGGTTCCCATGTGCGCACCTGCGGTGTGCTCCGTGGGGCCAGTTCAACCGCATTGTGAGCCTGCCAGATAGGCTGTCGACCTAAATTATGGATCAAGAGGATGCGGCCAAGTGTCAGTGACAAGGGGCATTTCTTGCTGCATGGCACGATGGACTCGATTATGCCCCTATATAGCACTGAGGTGCACACCTGCAGAAGCTGGTGCTTGTGGAGGCGAGGCCTGAGCGGGGGACGCCGACTGCAATATTTGACGACAGAAGAAGATTATTTAATGGTGTTCAGATTGGTGCTCTTGGTGACGAGCTTCATTTTCCTGGCGTCGAGCTGGAGGGCGGAGTTGGGGGCATGTTCAAGCTGTCGAGAGTTGACCCTGGGAATCTCGTGTGAGCCATGCGCGAAGCATCATGGTACTGCGATGGCCATTAGGCCTACGTCTGGGAGTCCTGGGCAAAAGAGCGACTCCGAATCGGCGCATGGAAAAATTGCGTGAATTTTGAAGCCCCTGTGTGAGCTGCAACTTGCAGTAAGCACGGCGCTCATACCCAGGAAAGAGGGGGATCAGACCCAGTTATCACGGGCAGGCATCCGTACGTATAGAACATAGTCAGATATGGTCTAGGACTCCTGATAAGAGGCCTTCATCCAGCAGAATATAGTACACACAAGCCGCTTGGGTGTTGGTATGGATGGAAGAGGGCTTTGCTCTTATGAGTTAAGGAACTCCTCCGATGGAAGGAATATGCCCAGAGCCAGCTGGCCGCGGACGAACCCTTGAAATCTTCCCCACCATTGATTTTGAAAAGCAGATCACCATAAATCATAATCAAATGCCTTATCTAGAGTGGATGTGTAGCACGACAGCTTGTCGCGCGTAAGTTTATGTCTTAACCTAGGGCCGGTGCTGCCAGGCCCGTGCCATTGCGACCATACACGGAGCGAGTCTTCGCCCTCCCGACCACCCCCCGTCAACAAAAGGTCGAGTCGCCATGACTGGCCACCTAGGAACGGTACGAGTGCTAGTTTTGCGCTTGTAATCTCCCAAAAATGATGTCCGCGCGAAGAGGGCGTTCGTCTACAGGCCCTAGGGGGAAAATGCGCCCTGGGTCGCAGGCCCATATCTGCAGGATACTTCGTTCTGCTCGGTTACTGCATATGTCCTTGTTCCAGATTACCCCAGTTGAGTGAACGAGGTGGTTGAGAAATTACACGGAACCTGCCAGTCTCTGAGCGACGGGCAAGCTCTCGTCGTTCGCATTCCAAAGACGAAGAGTCACCTGCCCCAACATTCGATCAAGGCCGACAGGCATGATTTCCAATCTTCAAACGATGTTTCATCATCACTTTAACCAGCAGATGGTTTTTGAGGTGAGGGCTGAGCTGGCGTGGAATCGTTTAGTGGCAAAGAAAACTTCTGCGGGTGTGGCTTAACACCCTCGGACAAGCTGCTAGCGCGCAGTGTGCGGTATCGCCAGGTCCAAGAGGGCCATCATCACAGTCGCCGATGTGGGGACACATCACCCTCCCCCAATAAATCAGCCCGCTGGCGCTTTCCGTGTGTAAAAATATCGCGTCGAGCCCCGTGTACTTCTTCCGTAAATGGGTTTCCTTGGATGGGTCCAGTCACACTCGACCTGATCAGCGCTGCAAGGATACCATAGTGTGCATGAACCTACTAGCGATCACGGGGTGGACGAAGGTTTTGACTACTTCATTATGCTGTCTTCAGGGGCAGCACGCAAGGGTTTTGCCCCATGGTACGGATCCATGCACGTGCTGTGATGAAGCTGGTCCCTCACGTGCGCGCGTTGGATAATCGGGAGTAGAGGAACGTCGACGATCTCGACCCCTGCCAGAATCATCTGATCACGCTCATGATGAAACTAATGCTTTAAAAATCATCGGAGACGAAGACCGGGACGACGAGGCAGCGGTCGACGAGCACCCATTGATCGATTCGTCCCCGGGCGAGTAATCAGACTGGGCGGAAACCCCTCCAAAACTAGCTTGGCGCATCCCTTGCGACGAATTTTATCCAGATGGCCACTTTTTGTTGACTGAGGAAGGTGCTGCTGTGGGAAGAGCGAACGTGAGAGATGCTGCTTTCGGAATCTGGAAACCAGGCGTGAGTCAGGTTCGCGTACTTCTGGAATCGACCCTGCTGACCTTCTCCGGGAGAAGTGAAGGCACATCTTGTAGTATCCTAACCAAATTGGCGTGAAGAGCTTACACTTCAGCATTGGCGAAGCAACAAGGGGTTCGCGTTTCGATAGACATGCCGCAGATCATATGCGAGGGACTCCTCGTCGGTTCCCCAGCTTCTGCCGGTCTCAAACAGGACCTGGCTCCGGGGATGACCATCCGACGGGATAAGAATAGCCTTCAGGCGTTCTCAGAAGGCAGAACCTGAGCGAATTCCTGGCGATTTGCATCAAGCCAAGACAGTTTTCGTTTGCAGCTCGGCTACCAGTATGAGAGCTCATACTGGTGCCATCGACCTTCGAGCTCATAATGGAGTAGAATATCTCACTGGCCCCTAAATTAACTCAGAACCTCGAGTGACGGTCGTCTCCAATGGCACGCTACCTTCATGCCGCACGCAAGTGCCTCGTCTCGTACAGACCCGTGGCCATTCTGACGGTCACGATTGTCGTCATGGTGCTGGCCATCCACAACGAAGGTCGGTCTACCCAGCAGGTCTTATAAATTTTTCAGAGCGTATACATTTTCGCCAGGGCATTGGCGTCATTCATCGGGCGTCCTCTGGCCTGGGAGGGGCCAGGCAGACGCCGTGGCACGACACAGATATGAGCCCGAGAAGCCACACCTTGACCACCGAGCATGGTTCCGGTGTACACGTCAACTTCAATCTGATACTCACCCTACCTTACAGACTGCTTCAGCGTCGCGCAGACTGGACTCGGCTCTTCACGTGCGAGCCTCTCCGGTCCCCGTACCATGCTCCCTCCCGGTCTCCCCTACCCGCCATCCGGTCAATTCAAGGGGATAAGGGCTCACCTGCTCTCACGGTGAGGAAGGCATGGGTGGGTCTTTGCAGCTGATTTGATGCCTTGCCATCGCATTCTCCACGGCTCCAAACCTTTTCAGTGAACCTCTGCCGATGCTGGACCAAACAACCGTAGCTGGTTTTGCAGCTGCATAGCTGCGAGACGCCCCACACCCTGCCCCTTCTCCGGCAGGGATCTGGTGGAACTGCATGCCAGCAGCAACCACCTGGTCGTCACCTGGTCCGACTGGGACAACCGCGACTTTGTGAGGAATTGGGTGTACCATCTACACAAGGCGGGCTGCTCTGCCCTGCTGGTGGGGGCCACAGACACTCAGCTCCTGGAGTGGCTCTTTGAGGCTGGCATCCCAGCCTTCTTAATCGAGCAAAAGGTGCTGAGAGTGGTATCTCAGCAAGGGGCAAAAGGGAGGGGGAGGGTGCTTCAGCTGACTCTTTGAAGAGGAGTTTACAGTGCCCATGAGGGACAAACATGTTGGCCATGCTGGTGGCTCCATTGTCCCTGAGCCGGGCAGAGTGATGTTGCATCAAGCTCGTGAGTGTCCAACAGGTTGAAGCTGTGCACCCTATGCGTGTGCACGTGCCAATCTGCAGCCATGTGGATCCCCACCAGCTCCAGCCTCATCTCCGCTTATCCTGCTCATCCTGGCAGAGTCCCGCCAGAGTGTCACTCCTGCGGGCCTTTTCTGAGCTGGGGACAAACGTCATTCTGAGCGATGTGGACGCGGTCTGGCTGCGAGACCCCATTCCGTTCATGCAGATGGTGAGGCATTGTGGGCGAGGGAGCGGCAGGGCTCAATCCTTCCTATCATTCATGGGAGCAAATACGGGAGGGATGATGTGAGACCTTATGTGGGCCAGGCACCCTCCAAGTCCTCCTAATTTGGCAAACTCCATATGGGTTGGCTATGCCTCGAAGTTTGAAGCCTGTACTTCACACTGTACCCTCAGCTTCCACTGAGCCTGTCCTAAACTGCTGTGGTGCAGTACCCGGATGCCGACATCTTGGCATCTAGTGATGCCATGGAGCATGGCAGTCCCTCGGAGAAGCTGGAGAGCTCTACCAACCTCGAGGGACCCGCCAGCCTTGCCGTCCTTTTCATGAGGCCTTCTGCTCGTAAATTCATCATGGTTAGGATTGGGGGTTGAGAGGGTGTTTGATCCAGATGATGAGCATGCTGTCATCAGCTTGCTGTGCAAGGAGGTGGACATGGCCTAGGAGCAAGTGGATATCCTGAGGGTCCCTGTTTGTGTCTCCGTCTGATGGAGTGGAGGCCATTCACGAGCACCTTGCCATCTCGTCAAGTGACTGTTCCCTTCCCACACGGTGACAGGAGTGGGAGTCTGCCATCCCTTCTGATGGGAGATCCGGGGAGCGGGCGGCCTTCAACGACCTCTTCCACCGTGAGCTTGTGCAGCTGACCCGGCGCAACGACAACCTGGCCAGGTGGGCGGCGGGGTGCAGCCCCTGGGCTGGTTGCGGGGAGCTGAGCCTCGACGCATGTCACCCGCTACGTCGCAAGAGCGCCCAGCGTGCCTCTCAAACTACTGCCCCCCCTTTCGGCAGTGTATTCCGAGGGACGCTGCTGGGAGGCATCCTCTCCACCTCTGCCTTTTGTTCGGGCCAGGCCTACAGGGCAGGCCTGCAACAAAGGATCCATGTCAGACCATTCGTCGTGCACACCCCACACCCGGGGCCCGGCGAGGCTGCGGAAAAATTTGTGCTGAGGGAGCTGGGCCTGTGGCGGGTGAGGCGAGGCTGCGGGACATGGTTCACACCTGTGCATGGGATGGTTTTACGGCTGCAGCAGCACACCCTGAGCCCCAGCGAATCGAGCGAGCCGACTCTCACTGACTGTGTGCTCTGGAAAGCCTTGGCCCCCATTCGCAAGGGGCTGGTCCGGGAGGACATAGAGCTGCGACTGTGCCACACCGCCGAAGAGCATCCAACATTCACCGCTGCCTGGCCCCTCGCCCTGCTGAACAGGACCTGCCCGAGCACTGGACTCATCCGGCAGGGTTCCTGACCTATGACAACAAGCTCCCAGCTACACTGTGGGAGTCGGCCCCAAGGGTGAGATGCTGCTGCGCAGAGGGCGGGACCTGCAGACGAAGTCAACCGTGCAGTCGATGCCGTGGACCTCACACTTGAAGCAGCACTGCAGCCATTCCAAGACGTCCTACCACGGTTCCCTCTTCTGCTCCTCCTTCTCAGGGCGCTCTGGGCGAGCTCGCCGCCCCTCTGCATGCCGAATCCATGGTGGTCAACCATCAGCTGATCCAGTACCGCAACGCATTCATAGCAGCAAGGGTGCTGGGGGGGCACTCCGTCGTACAGCCCCCAGTGTGGCTTCGTGGAGATCTTGCCGCCAGGCCCAAGGGGGGGCTAGCGGGCACAGTGGCCTCGGCGCCCTCCGCCCACATCCCAGTGGATGCCATCATCGATTTGGAAGCGTGAGCTGGGTTTCAAGGACAGGACTGTCATTCCTTGCGTGCCAGAGGGTGCCAGCTCTGCCGACATGAGGGAACGGCAAGGTCCTTGTGGGAGTCTCATGCCCACCAGCATGCAAGTTGCAGTGCGCACTGGCAAGAGGGCCGCCATCACATGCCCGCAATGCCCCTCACCCCCTCCCATAGACTGGACAAGGACGCCCCGAATGGCTACCGCGAGAGCTCCTTCCTCAGGAACCCCCAAGGCTCTGGCTTGCTGGGAGATCGGCTACAGGTCTTCATCTGCCCGGTGAGTTGTGGTGCAGCGGTGCTGGGTGCGGAGCAGCTGGGCCTTCAGAAACTGGTGGCCTCAAGATTCACCTGCCTGCATGTCCGCCAAGGTGCTCATCGTGTGCCGATGCAGAGGATGCCGAGCATGCACCCTCGACGCAGGACATGGTCATGGCAGAGTGCGAGACGGGGGACGCGGTGGTCTGGCCCCTGTTTGGTGAAGTCAGGCTCAAGCCCAGGCGCACCCTGCAGCAGCTCCGCACTGCCCTCTTTGAGGCATCCAAAGGGTATCAGGTGCGAGCAAGACACACCCCAAAGGAAGGATCAACTTCATGATTTGAACAGCCAGTTCTCTGAAGCAGTGATGCATGTTCCTCCCTCAACTTTCAAACTGGCGGATGACCGTCAACGGATCACAGTGCAGATCCTCTCAGCCATCATGTCCTCGTGCTGCCACAACAACATGCAGGACAGATGCCTCAACCCCAGACTGTTGCTTTGTGCAGGTGATAGAGTTCAAGGGCAACATTGCCGATGCCATGATCCTGAGCAAGGAGGAGGTGCAGCGATACAGCAGGTGGATGGCGGGCTGGTTGTCCCACCCTCCCAGTAAATTGCACCAGGAAGAAACCAGGTACAGGGGCTGGGTTGGTTCCGAGGGTGGAATCAGTGCCTGCCTTAGATTCAGGGTCCCCACCACGGATTGCCCAGTCCCTCTTCACCTGTCGGCCGCAGGTATGACCTGTTCTGGGACTATCCTGGAGCTGCCCCGCAGTCAACCCGCATGCAGACTATGAACAGGAAGGTGGACTTGGGATCTGGCACCCTGTCAGCTCCAAAGCAGGAAGCCACTCAATGGTGGCAAGGGCTGACCCACTCATGAGACCAGCGCAAACCGAGCTTGCATTGTACCATCCTTTCATGAGATTTATTCACCATTGTTTGAGTTACATGTACTTGCCGGCCTGTTGGGATATTGCCTGACTGATGACTGTACCGCCCTGGAATGCCAAGGACCAATCTGACGAGGCATGTGTATCGGGTGGGCTGTGGTAGATTTCTGCAAGGTGGCTTGGGCCGAGGAGTGACAGATCCCTTCCATCTGCATGTCACCTCGGCCTGGAGTGTGGTTGGTGGTGAGGCTGCACTACGACTCGTGACAGAGTTCCTGGTGTGATCTGATCCGCGTGACAACTCGACCCTCACGCCACTGGTCTGGAGGTCTTTGCAAAGCATCCGGGGGCAAAGATTGTGGTCTGGGCGTGAACCCGCAGGTGGGTTTTGTCGGGGCAGACAGCACCATACCAAAATCCTTGAGCTGCCATTAAAGGTCTGCAGGGGTCTGGCCCACATGGTGCACGCAAGCTGAGGAGCTCCTTGGCGGCTGAGGTGTCACCCCTGTCCCATCGGCCTGTCGCGCCCAGTTGGCCTTGAGCACGGCCTGGTCACGCGAGGGCTGGAGCCGAGTCCATGTTCCGACGGCCACCTCCTCACTTCCGCTTGCGTGCACCGGCGCTGGCCGCGCCCGCCGCCTTGCGCTTGCCCGCCGGCGCGGCTGCCGCCTTGCCGCTCTTGGAGGTGGTGCCATTGGCGGGCGCCGCCGCGTCCTCTGCGGCCACGTCCCATACCGGCAGCTCGCCCACCTTGGGGTGGTCCGGATCCACGAGGAAGAGGCTGTGCCCGAAGCCCATGGCCACCTGCGAGAGGGTGTCCTCCGGGCCTGCCTTGGCCATGCGCTGGGGGATGAGGTGGCGCGGTGCGCAAGCCCCCACGAGCTCGTCCGCTGCGGCGGCGTGCATCGCCCCGGCTCGCGCCTCCAGGGCCCATGGGGTCCCAACTCTGGACGACGGACGTGCAGGGCAGGCCTGCATGCTGGCCCGCCCCGACTTCATGGCCTCCCACCCCCATCGTGGCCCCCCGCACCGCACCTGGTAGGTGTTGACTCCCTCAAGCGAGGGGCACTTGTCCGGGTTGGCAGAGCTCTTCTTGCCCCCGGGACCGTACCCCAACTCGCAGTACCCGTTTGAGTGACCCCTGCACCGGGATGGGAGACCGTCCTCCTCTGGAGGCTGCTGCTCTCGAGCGCACTGCCTTCACAGCGACTCACCGGGTGCAGGCGGCAGCGAGACGGTGCGGCACGGTGTGGGTTTCTGGCATAGTATCCCCCCCCAAGGCAACCCCCTTCCCCCAAGACTCCCACTCTCCCTCCATCGGCCCCGCATCGAGTGTCGTCCGACCCCGAAGCCTCCTCACCAGGTGATAGTGGACTTCTCTGCGCCGTAGGTGGCCGCCACGGCAAAGGTGGTGGAGCCACAGGCCAGACTCCGGATGTCCCACCCCGCCAGCTCCAGGTAGGGGGTGGGGTACATGAGGTTGTCTCCAGACACCTTGAGCTTGCCCCAAGCAAAGAGCTGGCCGCCCACGATGGAGCAGAAGGACGAGGTCTGGCCTGCCGCCACGATGGCGTCGGGGGGGACCACCAGCCGCCCCGTCAGTGTCTCCACCAGCCGCGGCTTGTACTCGTCCTGCTGCACCCGGTGCCCCAGACGGCCGTAGCCGCCAAAGCCCCAAGTCCACACGCCGCCGTCAGAGGCCACCGCCACCGAGTGGTTCTGGCCGCAGGCCAGCCGGGTGACCTCCTTCTCGGCCAGGGCGGTGATGAGCTTGGGCGTGTACTGGGGCTGGAACACGATCTGTGAGATGGTGTTTTGAAGGGGGACCAAGGAGGGGGGTGTTGAGAGCGCTGGGGCATTGTGGGTTGAGCATCCCTGATGGGGAGGAGCCAGGCACACAGGCCAGGGGCCATGCGACAGCAAGGATCGGCACCAGACCAGCCCAATCCCTGACCAGGGCATGTCAGATTCACGCCGCAAACCACCACAGCCATTCACCTTGACGCTGCTGTCGGCCGCATTGTAGCTTCCGTCCGTGCCTGCAATTGTACAGGAAGGTTTCCTGGTGGGCATCTCATGCTCGGACCTCCAGCCGCGACCGCAGCCTGTGGCTAGGAACCACACCATCCACGACGAAGAGTCGTTGTGCTGTGAGCATGCCCCTTCCGGCAACAGGCACCAGCGTGCGTCGCCCACACAAGCGCCCTGCCAGCGCAGTGGCCGCCCTCCCGACGTCTTCCCTACAACCCCACGCTCACCGTGCCCCAGCTGGCCGTACTGCGGCAAGCCAGCGGAGTAGAGCTTTCCCTCGGACAGCCAGACGGAGAACTCTGCACCCACACCCACAGCCGACACCTTGCCGACGACCACCTGGTTGCAAAGGAGGGAAGGAGGTCGTATTTGTTTGAGGGTGCGAATAGGGCCGGGGCGCACGGTGGCTACTCTGGCGCTGCCGGCGTGCCAGGATCCAGCCGCCACCCATGGAGCCAGTGTATGGTCGCGGCCTCCTCACCTTGACCGGGACCAGGTGCATGTCCTCGGCACCCTTTGCCAGCTTCTTGGCCGGCGCGCCGGACCCCAGCTGGCCATAGGTGTTCAGCCCAAAGCTGTACGACTCGCCTGTATTACGGGTGGTAGGAGATGGGTGCCAGGGCTGTGTCTCACCTTGTCTGATGACTCGTTGTAAGAGCACTTTGCTGCTGCAAGGCAGCCAGAGCCCACTGACACACGACAGCAAAACAGAAGGTGCATTCCTGCCGCGATACTATCCTAGACCCGAACCCCACGCCCGACTGAACGGCAGATATCCATCGTCAAAGCGCAAACCCACGCGCACCATCATCGGTGAAGATGACGGTGTGATGCCGTCCACAGCCACCTCCCACCACCTTCTTGCCCTTCAGGCCGGGCACCAGTGTGGGTACGTTGCGGGTTACGGTGTCCCCCAGCCCCAGCTGCCCCTTGTCGTTCCTTCCCCAGGTGTAACACCTGCCCTCCGTATCCGCAATGACGGAGTGGAATGCGGAAGATCCAGCCGCAATGAAGCTCACGCGGATGCCCTGCGAAGTTCGCGATGAGTAAGGAGGGGCGCCTGCTTCAGATCCAGTCCCGGTAGCAGGACCGAACGGAGCGCAGCCCCCTTCCACTCCCACACCAGCACCCGCACCTGCATCGCCTTGAACTTGTGCGGCAGCTGTAGGTTAGGGTAGATGTCCGCGCGGACATCTTTGGTGCGTCCGATGGCCCAGTAATCTGTGGCTCCGCAGACGAGCAGCTCGCCGGCCGGAGGCGTAGCCGCTTCCTCCTTCTCTGTCATTACGCTTCCGTGGGCACACGATCCAAATGGATGATTCAACGCGCAAAGGCGATGCGTTTGCTGGCTAAAAACTTGTTTGATCGATGCGAGAGTGCGACTCGTATGAACATAGCTGACGCGCGAGACTTGAAAATTTCGTATGCAGTTTAAGGGACTGGAGTCCTCAGGGTGCATGTCCTTCTAGCGTGTGGCTTTGATGCTGAGATTAAACCTCGCGATATAGCCACTGTGAGCGGTGCAATAAGCTGTTTTCTAGATGCCTCAAGGACCTTTTTCGTCCTACATACACTCCTCACCATTTGCAAGCACCTCCTGTCCCACTTAGAGATTTCACTGCAAGCGGCACTCCCTGGTCCCGATGGCGGGGTGTATCATGGGAAATCACAACAGGCATAGTAGTTGATCATAGCAATAACATTATTCATTTCCAAAGCGTGCCTGTGCTACACCGGTGGCGCAGCCTGCTGTGCATGCTGTGGGTCGGGGTTTTTGATATCGCAGATCGGAACAGATCTGTGCATGGAGCAGAGCACGAGCGTTGGGGTGTGAAGGCGGATCCCTTGTGCAATGTAATTACAAGAAGGCCAACCTCAGATGCATCGAACCGGCCTGAGCCGATCAGCTCTTTGCCGTGCACTCCATGGTTTAGACTCTCCGCACTGATGCCCCGCAGCGCATCCGGGCTTCCCCACCCTGCACACGCCTGACCATCGTCACCGGGTTCTGAGCATGAAGGTGCTTAATGTCGCTGAAAAGAACAGTGTCGCCCGTGCGGTGACGGAGATCTTGTCCCGTGGCCGGTCGCAGCAGCTGCAGTCCTGGTGAGATGCAAGAGTGGCAACGCTGTACGGGATGTCTAGCAAGCTTCACCGCGCTTTTCAACTCCCACTCACTCTCATCTCCATCGCCTCTGCCACAGCGCAACCTGGTGCAAGGTGTACTCCTTTCCCTTCCAGCTGGCCAATGAGCCGGTGGACATGGTGTTCACCTCGGTGGCGGGCCACCTTCTGCAGCTGGAGTTCACACCCCCCCATTCCTCCTGGCAAGGGTGCTCGCCCCAGGACCTATTTTCCGCCCCTGTTCAAAAACAAGTCCCAAAGGTGCCTGAATGGCTTTCAAGTGGCCGATTGCTGGGCCATTGGAGCAAATTGGGGCTGCAATCCGACACCTGAGCACTTGACACATGCGGACACTCATGATTCGTGTGCTCGACGTACCTCACCCCCTACGGCTTCCCAGGGTGAGCAGGAAAAGATCCTGCGCAATCTGCAGACCCAGGCCCGCTCCTGTCAGCAGCTGGTTCTCTGGCTAGATTGCGATAGGGAAGGGGAGAACATCGCATTTGAGGTAGGCCCACAGGCACGGCCGTCATGTAGATCATCCCACATGCCGAAGATTGCAGCATTCCCCCTCCTGTCGTTGGCTGTGCTGTCTTGACTGCTCAGCAGTGGTCCATTCAAGTCAGCAGCAAGCCCCCCCAGGTTCCCTCCTGACTCATCCCCCACTCCCAGGTCATCCAAGTATGTTTGAAGGCCAACCCACGTCTTCAAGTAAAACGCGCTCGGTTCTCGGGTGGGTGAGGGTGGTGCCCTTGAGCATTGGTACTTGCCCAGGAGTCCAGCATATTGTTTTTGATAGGGGAAGCTCTGGTGGCATGCCATCGGGTCAGTCCTAGTTCAGGTGCAAGCTTGGTCAGACAAGCACTGACTGGCCGTTTGCTGGGTGACTGGCAGCAGTGAGATGCTCGACTGTGGTGGCGGCTTCTGTGCTGCAACATCCCTCATCCCAAAGCCACACTCTCTTTGCATCTCCAGCCTTCAGATCCTCCCCCTTTCCCCTCGCAGCGCTGGTGGCCTCGGACATCATGCGAGCCGTCAACTCGCTGGGACCCCCCAACGAGCGCGACGCCATGGCCGTGGACGCCCGGCAGGAGATCGACCTGCGCATCGGCGCAGCCTTCACCCGCCTGCAGACCCTGCTCCTGCAGAACAAGTTTGACTGGAGCGGGCTCCTGCCCGCCGGCCGCGAGCGCATGCTACTCAGCTACGGGCCCTGCCAGTTTCCCACCCTGGGCCTGATCGTGCAGCGCTTGTGGTGGGTGGAGGGAGGGGGTTCAGGCGCCTGGGGTGGCAGGAGTTGCACGGGTCCTGCAGCCTGCCAGGGAGGCTGCACCTTAGTAGAGGGCATGGGCACCGGACGGTCGTTAGCACAGATGGCTAACTCAGCACTGCCATGGTTCTGCAACATGGCATGTAGGAGCGAGCGCACGGGAGGCTGGCCTGGTGGGGCTTGGCCCATGATTGATGGTCATCACACCTCCTCACCATGCTCAGCCATCAACCCAAGGCTGCACCCTCTATCCCCAGGGAGATCCGGACCCACATCCCAGAGGACTTCTGGAGCATAGAGGCGAAGGCCGCGCCCACCGGCGACCAGCCCGGCTGCACATTTGCTTGGTCGCGGGGCCGCCTTTTTGACCAGCCTGCAGCCGCCATGCTGCATGAGCTTTGCTGCGACCACCCCACGGCAACGGTCGCCGAGGTGGGCCCCTGGAACGGCAAGGCTCAGGAGCAGCGGTGCTCGGGGGAGAGAGCATAGTGCCCACCTTCACATGCGGGCCGCATGGTGCATGAGCTTGTCTCACGCTCCTGGTCATGCCAGGTGTGCATGTTTCCCTGACCGCCAAGCGCCAAAAGCAGCCAGCATGACCCTGATCCCCCCATCTCCTTGCAGGTCAAGGGCCAGCAGAAGCAGCGATGGGCGCCCACGCCCCTCAGCACCCTGGAGATGCAGAAGCGAGCCTCGCAGGTGACTGGGTTTGGCACCCGGCGCGGTTTGCAACACATGGAGTGCAGCAAACAGTCACTCAGTATCAGCAGCCATGCCCCGGCCTGCCTGCGCTGATACGACTGGCATGGTGTGGGCATGCCCCTGCAAGTGTATGCAGAGAGGCAAGAAACCCCTCGTCCAGTGTATGGCCACGCTCCCAACGATAAGCTCATTCACATGTCCCCCGGCCGCCGCAGTACCTGCGCATGCCGGGTGAGCGCATCATGCGGTATGCGGAGGAGCTGTACCAGGCCGGCGCCATCTCCTACCCCCGAACCGAGACAGACATATTTGACAAGCAGTACGACCTCAGGGTGAGGGCGCTGGGATCTGAGCGACAGGGGAGGAGGCCTCTTGGGTGCTGCTACTCAAGGGACGTGTGCCTGGTGTTGCTGTGGGATTGTTACAAGATCCAGGACCCTGGGCAGGCCGGGCCAGGCTGACCTGTGTGCTTGCATAAGGAAAGCCATGGAAACCGGGAAACTGCCTGTTCAGGAGTCATCCCCCCCTGCCCCATGCAGGCCCTCATAGGCGTCCAGGCGGGCACCCGGGTGCCTTGGGCGCCTTTTGCCCAGAAACTTGTGGAAGGCCCGCTCTTCCGGTGGCCCCGCTCAGGTCAGGCAGGGGGGTGCCAATAGCCTGGCAGTGTTGCTGAGAGGGCCAACATTGGTGAATAAGGTGCATATAAACAGGGGTCTGTGCATCACAGCTGGCCTGCAGCATTAGAAGCCCGCGCCAACCCAGCGGCGAGGGTTTGCCATCTAGCACTCGGGAGGTAATGCCACATACCCCGCTCTTGCCCCACACCCCTCACATTCCCAGGCGGCCACAATGACCAAGCCCATCCGCCCATCCACCCCACCGCCCCCTTCCAAGCCGACGGAAGTGACAAGGCGCGCCTGTACGAATTCATCTGCCGCCACTTCCTGGCGTGAGTGAGGATGGGCTGTGTGGATGGTGCGCTGTCTGTGCTGGACCAGCCACATGCCGCTTGAAGGGAAAGCTGCCCTGAGGCTCCTTTTGAAGGCTGTGTGAGTCATTGGGCAAGAGGATGACATCCCGACGCCCGTCCCATATACATTGTCTCCATTGAGATCAGAAGGCCTGTCGATGGTCAACCCTCCCCCTCAGATGCTGCTCGCTGGATGCGGAGGGGCAGTCCACCACCGTGACCATCGACATAGCTGGCGAGGGGTTCTGCGCCTCGGGGCTGGTGGTCACCGCCCGAAATTTCCTGGATGTGTACCCCTACCAGGTTGGTGGAGGTCGGGACATTTAAGAGTGCAGTGTTGCCGTGCGCTGCCTTGCACAGCGACGAGGGCGACAGGTCGCCTCACTCACTGCTTCACCTTACCTCTCACTACCATGCCGCTAGAAATGGGGCACGCCCCATGAGACTCTGCCTCAGTATGTGGAGGGCCAGACCTTTGAACCCGCATCCATCGACCTGAAACCGGTGAGTGCAATGGACCCGCGGCGAGTCATTGCGGGGGTCTTTCGACCCCAAAGTGCTGCCGCTGTGTCCTCCCAGCGCTGCAGACATAGGCAGCGTCATGACAGGCCCCAGTGAACTTCGTTCCTGGCGATATTCCTCCCAAACTCCAGGGCTGCACCCAGGCGCCGCCGCGCCTGACCGAGGCGGACCTGATCGCCAAGATGGAGCAGCACGGCATTGGTACCGATGCCACTGTGGCAGACCACATCCAGAAACAGGTGTCGTGGGGGGGGGGGGGTGGGTCGATGAGGGGCAACTTCCCTCTTTCCATCCTTGGGCTGAGGCAGCAGGGGCTGAGGGAGGGTCGCTGAAGGATGCCCCCGCAGGGGCCCTGTGTGCACCCCTCACCATGGGGTGTGGGGCCATCCAGGCAGCATGTCCCTCCGTCCTCACCCATCCGACAGCCCACTCACCGCTAATACCTCCCTCCAAACGTTTGCTCAAATTACAGCTGGAGCGGGGGTACGCGGTCAAGGACGAGGCGGGTCAGTCCCAGACCTTCTCGCCCACGCCCCTGGGCGAGGCCCTGATCTCCGCCTACAGTGCCATGGGGCTGACCAACCTCTGGCAGCCCCAGCTGCGCGGCGCCATCGAGGGGAACATCCTGGCGGTGGCCCAGGGCGCCCGCACCAAGGCGAGTCGGGTGGCGCGTAGGGGGGGGTTGGGGAATGCGTGGCACGGCGGTCGCGGCCCGGCAATCGCTCGTAGAGCTGGGTCATCAGCGCCCATGGCAGACAAGGGCCCCCCGCTGCGGCCCGAGCGCACTTCCTCACCGAAGCTCCCCGACGCACCCCCCATCCTTTGCAGGAGAGCGTGCTGGCGGAGGCCATCCTCGCTTTCCAGACCGACTTTGGGTCTGCCATGGCTCAGGCCCACGTGCTGGAGGCGGAGGTTCGCGAGGTTGTGTTTGGCAGCGTGGCGCGGGGTGCTGGTGCCGGGGCTGGAGCCAGGCGCCTGGATGCAGGGGAGCGTCAGGGGGAGCCGGGCGGCCCTGGCCTGGCCCCGGGATCCCAAGCGTTCGGTGGGTGCAGCTGCGGCGGGCAGCTGGTGCTGTCCAGGTGAGGGGTGTGCCAGGTCGGGTATCACATGCTCGGATATCGTTCCCTGGGAACCTCAGCGTCATCGAACTGCAGCTTGGGCATCTCCCGCCGTGTCCAACCGCTCCTGCATCACTCGTCCAACCACCATCCGTGCTGTTCCCCGCTCCTGCACCCGGGCTGTCCTCTGCATGCAAGCGAGCCCCCTTCCACCTGTGCAGGGACCCTGGCGGCGGCCCACCCCACATCGCATGCAGCGCCTGGCCCCTGCACCGCTTCCGGGTGGACCTTCCCCGCATTACCACCTCCGTGGGCGTCAGCGAGGAGGCCTGCGCCGCCTGCGGCGCCTCGCTGCTGGACCTGGGCTTCACGCGCGCGCTGCTGCCGCCCGGCTTCCAGCCGCGCATGCACACCTGCGTGGCCTGCGACCCCGAGTTCCAGCGCCTCATCCAGCTGGTGGGCGCGGTGCGCCGAGGTAAGTGTTATTTTTTAGATTGGTTGGGCTGGGCGTGCTGCCTGAGGGCATGGCGAAGGATGACGTTGCGTGTGGGGTTTTGGCGGGCCGGTCGGTGTACTCGCCGATTGGGTCGACTTCCGCCGCCTGAGGCCCATTGTAAAGCCAGCGGCAGTCCGCTCTCATCCCTCCCCAACCCTCTATCCTGGCCCCTTGTGTGCAGCCCCCTCCTCAGCGCCCATGCACCACCAGGGGCCAGGCCCGGCGCATCGCCAGGCACCCCGAGGGGGTGGCGCGCCGGCGGCGAGAGGCCGAGGCCGGGGCGTGCGTTCCAGCCCCGGGCGGCGCGGGAGGGGCGGCAGCTCCCATGACGTCGGGCCCAGGGTCCGCGGGAGGGGGCCCACATATGCGCGGGGCGCCGCGTCGGCCCACCCCCGGGGCGGGTTCGCCGGGCGGCGCGGCGGCGGCACACGGGCGCAGGGCGACCACGCCGGCTTCTGAAGTTTGCGCTGGCATGCTTGACCCGGCCCTGTGGGGCCCCTCGGTGTTGTATGGGTTTGTGTTTGTGAGCGCGCGGGACGAGAGCAGCAAGCGAAGCACAAGAGCCGGGAAAAGGGAGCACGGCTGAGTGGGGGCAGCAGGAGGTGGGCCCGGCAAGCATCAAGTCCTCTCCCGAACAGAAGAGGCGGTCGCAGGCCCCGCAAGCGGCCGCACCCAACGGCTACTTGGGTGCGGGGTGGGGCTCGCCGGCCAAGACCCCGGTCGCGGCCGCCTTGGGGGCGTACAGCTTCTTGGCGGCCTCCAGGACGGTGAAGAAGATGGACCCGCCCACCCCGATCCAGATGACACGCGGCTGCCAGCCGCGGAGCAGCGCGGCGGGCCCCTCGTCCCTCAGGATCTGGCGCGCGCAGTCGGCGACGCCGGCGTACTGCCCGCGTCCGCCGTCAATCATCATGCGCGTCTTGAGCACGTCCAGGGGCGTGGTGGCCAGCCCCGTCACCGCCCCGGCGATGGCCCCCGCCACCGAGTGCTCCGCAGGGTTGAGCTCTCGGCGTCCCCCCAGCACGGCGGAGGCGTAGCCCTTCTTCAGCTGCTCGTAGGTCAGGAACTCGATGGCGTCGAAGGGAAGGTCGCGGAGGAGGAAGGAGGAGTAGCCGGCAAAGACGCCGCGCCGCCCCTCTCGCGCTGCGATGGTGCGCAGCGCGCGCAGGGCATTACTGAACTCCCCCGTCTGCATGCGCGTCTTCACCACCTCGGTGGGAACGCGCACGACGCTGGAGGCCAGCCCCGCGGCCACGCCGCCCGCCAGTGGCGCCAGCCACGCGCGGTCGGCGTCGACGGCCTTCTGCACGCGCTGCTTCACCGGCTCGTACACAGCCATGAAGATGGCCGAGGCAGGGGCCACGCCTACCAGGTTGCCCACCAGGCCCGCGTACAGCCCGCGCCCGCCGCCGGCCTGCACCAGCGCGCGGAGGCCGCCACCGGAGCGCATGGCCTGCAGCCGCGTCTTGATGGTGTCCAGCGGGTACAGGGCTGCAGATTGTTGTTGTTTT